GCATGTCTCTCCCAGCCTACCTGGCCCAAAACTATGCTGCCAGCACCTCAGGCTCTGAGGGGCACATGCATTTCTGCCCTGAGGGCTCTCTCCTCAGTGTTTCCAGGACAAGGAAGGAGGACCCACACTGGGTGACACCAATGCGGCCATAGCCTACAGGACCTGCTTGCCAAGAGACCGCTCCTAGCACTCACCCACCTGAGGGTCAGGGATCGGGCAATGGGTCCTGCCCAGTGCCCTGAGGGCTCTAGGCCCTGGAAAAGCACTGAGGGGGCCACTGCACTACCAACAGCTCATGATGCTCAATACAGACACCCTCTGCCCTCAGTAAGAGCCTGGAGGGACACAAGAGTCCAGAGGGGATCGGCAGCCTTTGCTGGGGCCACTTCCTCCCATGTCATCTGCACAATGTGCCACTCCTAGGCCATCTTGGCAAACTCCACCCCTAGCCTGGGTCCTGGACACACCCATCTCCAGGCCCTGCTCTCTATGATGCGCACCCCTAGCAGCAGGTTCTGTGACACGTGCCCATTCTGTGACCACTAAGGTTCTGCAGATGTGGCATTTTGGCTTTAGCCCTTCGGAGCGATAGCAGCCAAAAGTGCTTTGGGAAGTCTTCACAGCATAGAGACTCACCAGCTTCTTTTCAAAAACTTTGGGGAGCAAATTTTGCCCCCCTCACCTGCCCCAGCAATGGGGGCTGACCACGACCTAAGGGGCCCCCAGGCCCAGGTCGGGGTCACACTCCCGCCTCTGGCCCTGGACCAGTTGGTCCACGGGCAAAATACCATAGGTCTTACAGACCAAAAGTCAGACAATCCAGTCTGATAAAGAAAACTCAGGGCCATCGTGGCACTGCTGACCACTCTCTGCCTTCAGACTCGACAACGCGTGTGCTCCAACAGAGTGAACATCGGTAAGGCCAGGATGCCACCACCCCGTAGGCTAGGTAACCTGATCATCATGGAAATCTGAAAGCCTTGTAGGGGAGGTGTGGTAGAAGTGCGGGGAGCACGTGTGTTGCAGTGCTGTGGTGCAGTGGGCTCAGCCACTGCCTGCAACACCAGCATCCCAAAGGAGTGCTGGGTTGAGTCCCAGCTGCTGCACTTCCAACCCAGCTGCCTGCTAATGTACCTGGGAAGGCAGTAGAACATGGCTCAAGTACGTGGCCATTTTGGAAGGCACTGGTGAAGTGCCAGGCCCCTGTCTGGCCAGCTACCTTGCCAGTTGTGGTGGCCATTTCAGGGTCAAGTCAGAAGATGGAAGCTCTCTTTTGGTTTTCTCACTCCCCAACTCAACCTTTACACATAATACATTTGTAACAGAAAGCAAAAGCACTTTGGGAGGTGATGCTGAGGTCGCCCAGGTGCACAGCAGTTCACATCCTTCCTGCCTTTTCCTTTCTAGGACCTGTACTGAGCACGCCTGATCCTACCAGACGAACCGGCAATGGAAGGCGGAGGAAGCAAACCTGCAAAGTACATCATCCAATTATCCAGGATATGGACACTTTACCCCCTGATACTCCTCCACAGGAGGAAGCCATGGACATCTCTCCCCCTATACTCCCCAATGGGGGTATCAAGGGACACATCACCCCCATATGTTCCCTGAAAGGAGAGAGCTATAAACAACTCATCCCTCTCTGCTCCCCTACAGGAAGAAGCCATGGACACTACTCCTCCATACACTCCACCTCGGGAGGAGCCCATGGACACCACGCCCCCATATGAGCCACCAGAACTGATGGACACCACACCGCCATATGAGCCACCAGAACTGATGGACACCACACCGCCATATGAGCCACCAGAACTGATGGACACCACACCGCCATATGAGCCACCAGAACTGATGGACACCACACCGCCATATGAGCCACCAGAACTGATGGACACCACGCCCCCATAAGAAACATCTTGGGCGGATCCACACCTCCCCATGTTCCACCACGGGAAGAGCCCAGGGATATCACACTCCCAACATTCCACCATGGGAGGAGCCTATTGACCCACCCTCCTGTGCTCCCCCATGGGAGGAGGGACCCACCACAACCTCCCAAGCTCCACCAAAGGAGGACCAATGGATACCACAATGCCATAGGCTCCTCCTCCAGTGTAGTGCCTGGTACACCACACCCTCCTACGCACCACCAAGGGAGGAACCAATGGATACCACAATCCATAGGCTCCTCCTCCAGAGGAGCCCATGGACACAACACCAACTATACTCCCCCTCCAGAGGAGGCCATGGACCCCTTCACCCCCTAGTTTCCAGCATAGTCCATGGAAAGGTCAACACGTCTCCTGCCCTCTGTTTTCCTCCTGCTGGTCCCAGGGGGCAGTTTTATGCTGGCCTTCCCATCTTTCCTTGCATTTCATACCCAGTTTCCCAAGCACCTATGGATATATAGACCCTCCCACGTGACCCTTCCTCACTCCCCTCCAGGACATGGACAACTCTGCTCCCAGGCAGCTCCTTCATGGCCTCCAGCTGGCTCCTCACCACACAAGAGTTCTTATTAATATTAAACACCATACTCGTTCTGTTTTTTGTGTCTATGCTCTGTAGATCCAGTGTGAGAAATGCTGGCTTGTGTGAGTGCTGACAGGAGGTCAGATCCTATGGGAAATGTTCCTGTGGTGCAAGAAACAGGGCTGGAGGGTGGGGGGCTAGGGAGTAGAAGGAGCCAAGGCCATAATGACTCCTCCTGAGCAGAAAAGCTGTGGCTGATGGGCCGGCACCTGTGCCAGCATAGTGGGTGAAGCTATGGCCTGCAGTTGCTGGCATCCCATATGGGTACTGGTTCAAATCCTTGGAGCTCTACTTCTGATCCACCTCTCTGCTATGGCCTGGGAAAACAGTAGAAGATGGCCAAGTCCTTGGGCCCCTCTACACACATGGGACACCTGGAAGAAGCCTCTGGCTTCTGGCATTGGATCAGTAGAGCTCCAGCCTTAGGAGCCAACTGGAGAGTGAACCAGTGGATGGAAGAACTCTCTTTCCCTGCCTCTCCTTCTCTCTCTCTGTAACTCAGACTTTTCAATATATGAATAAATCTCTAAACGAAGGAAAAAAAAGCTATGGCTGAACTTAAGGGATGGGGCCCAGGATCAATGAACCCAGGAAGGGAGGAGACAGGAAGGGTCATCCTGGCTATGGCAGCCACCACTTCTCACCTCCTCTCTGAGCTGCAATTGGCTGGATCTCCCCTCACACACACCAGCAGTCTACACTCTACACATTCACACCTGGTCCCTTAGGGAAATCTACACTCACAGCTCAGCCAGAAAGCACACATCTGGCATCGAAGCTCACAGGCCACGAAGAACAGAGGAAAGAAAACTCATCACCCCACAATAACCAAGGACAACCGTAACTCTAGGATGTCACTGATTCCCAGGTGATCTGATTGTCAACATGCGGAGATGTCCTCCTTGTTGCTCTTCCATTCAGATCAGGAAAGGGGAAGCCAAGAGACTATTTGCAGGGGAAACAAGCTAAGTTAGAGTCCCATTTTCCAAAAAAGGATTAATTGATTTATATCTTTTAACCCACAAGTACAAAGCATATCAATAGTCACTCCCAGCCATGCCACAAGACAAAAGCTGAACACCTGAATTCACCAATTCATCTTGTATCCTACAGAAAAGTGAGGTCACTTGCAAAACACACCTTCAGAAATTGCCTTGACTGACAGATGCAGAGAATCCCAGCTTAACTGAGCACAGGCCTCTGCTAGGGCTCAAATGTAGGTAGGGAACACAGACTGTAATAGGTCAACTGCTGGGGGCACAATGTGCACATGCTAGAGAGGAGAAAACTCCAGGGAGGGGGCAATCTTTTCTAAAAGAAGAGCTAACAAAGTTTTTAAAAACTTATTTTCATTTTATTTGTTAGGAGAGCTGCAGAAAGAGATGGAAACTGCCATACTCAGATCTTCCTTCCTATGGCCCACTTCCCACATGCTGGAATGCTGTCGTCTTCCTTCTTGCTCTCTCTCACACAAATCAAACCCCAACCATGCTGCATAACCTGGAAATCTCTAGGAAATACCAAGTCCCACATACATGCCAGTGCAGGTGCATCCTATCAATCTGTGGCCTGGACTTCTCAAGACATCAATCTCATCATAATCAAGTCAGGTCTAAGGAGATAGGCATTGCAGTACAATAGATTTGCCATCTGCTTGGGAAGCCCCCATTCCATATTGGATTTCCTGAGATAGAGTCCCACCATTGCTTCTGATCCAGCTTCCTGCACATGTGCACCCTGGGAGGCCCAGGTGATGACCTCAGTGCTTGGGTTCCTGTCATTCATGTGGGAGCACAGGATGGAGTTTCTGGCTTCAGTCAGGCCCAGCCCCACCTTTGTATTTGGGAAGTGAATTAGCAGATAGAAGGTCTTGAGATCTCATTCTCTCTCTCCTCTCTCACTGTGTGTGTGTGTGTGTGTGTGTCAGTGTGCATGTGAGTGGGTGTGTCTAACTTTCAAAGTAGGAAATGGATTCTATAAGAAAAACATGAAGAGTCTGAGACTAAATTCTGGATGTAGTGTTGGTACAGAAAACAGACATGTGGGTACAGCTAAGGAATTTGAATAAACTGTGGCCTTTAGTGAATAATAAAGTATCAGTGCAGGTTCACTGATGGCAATAAACACACCACACTAAGGAAAGATGTCTATACGAGCTACTTCCAGCAGTTCCTTTATGAAGGGACTTCAAAAGGTCATGGAAAATGCACATTATGAGTAAACTGACACATGGACTTAAATTCTTTCTGCAACAAGGTAAATTCAGCTTTTCTCTCATTTCCTCCCCAAAGAGTCTGAAGTTATCTCTCCTGGTTTCACATTGTGATCTTTTCCTTGCCACTGGGATGCCCATTCACCAAACCACCTTCAGGGCAAATATCTATCAAGACCAAGGCTGGACCTCTCAGGAGCCACTCCCTGAATTCCTTATCACTGCACATGCATCCCACTCACAGGAATTACTACTGTGCTCAGAGGATTCAACCTTCTCTCTCATACTCCCTATTTTCCTAGTCCCTGGAATAAAGACCTAAGGACTGAATGCTTTAAGCCTCGGACAACCGCACTGAATGATCCTGGGTACAGACATAGGGACATGTCAAAAACAAAGCACCACCCAGAAAAGCAAGGGCCTGGCTTCACCAGCAAGACACAAGGAGGTCTTAGCTCAGCCCTTAGCACTCGATTCTGTCCATCGTCCTGAACAGTTTTGCACCTCTGCACATTTGTCCAAACTCATCTCTACCAGGGGACAAACACTGCTCCCCAGAGCACACAGGAAACAACCTGACAGCAGACAACAAGGGCCACACCACAAGGAAGCTGTCATCCCTGAGCAGCTCCTTTGTGTCGAGGCTTTGCCAGCAATACCAACTTCAGTTCCTCCTCCCTCCCACCTCACTGACAGGAGGGTGCAGTTACAAGTTCAGCTGACAGCTAAGAGTATGGATTCCAGACCCCCACCATGAGATAGGTACTGGTGGCTCTGGGCCTCAGTGTCCCACACGTCCACTGGGACTACTAACAGTCTCTGCAGTACAAACAGCTGCTGCCTGAGCTCTGCTGCTCCCATTGCTATTCCCATCCCATCCCCATTTGAAAGAGGAAGGAAGGAGAGGTCCTAAGATCCTGGCTCATGGCTTCAGATCGGCCCAGCTCTCACCAGTGTGACCATTTGGGAAGGGAACCAATAGATGGAGCATCTCCAGTGGATGGAGTATCTCAGGATCACCCCCCACCCCTTAATATTACTGTGCCTCTCAGACAAATAAATAAAATCTTTAGACAGAGATCAAGATGCATCTCTTTTGCAGGTTCACCCTGCAAATATCCACAGCAGCCCAGTTGTAGCCAAGCCACAGTCAGCAGACATGAAGGCACTCTGGGTCTCTTACCTGAATCACAGTCAACCAACAGCACCCAGTACCACCTGCTGCCTCCCAGGGTACACATCAGAAGAAAATTAATCAGAAGTGGGACAGGAACTCAACCCCAGGCACTCTGACAAGGGATGTGCATGTCCCAAGCAGCATCGGGTGCTGTGCTGAAAACCTGCCTCTTCCAATATCTGTGAAGGTGACCCATTTTTCTTCAGTAAAGAAGTGGAAGAACTGAGCTGGCACTGTGGCATAGTGAGGAAAGCTGCCACATGTGGTGCTGGCATCCCCTACGGGCACTGGTTCAACATCTGGCTGTTCTATTTCCAATGCAGCTCCCTGCTTTTGCTCCTGGGAAGGCAGCAGATGACAGTTCTGGTACTCGGGCCCCTGCACCCACATGGGAGACATGGAAGAAGCTCCTGGCTTCAGAAAGGCACAATTCCAGCCATTGTGGCCATTTCAGGAGTGAACCAGTGGATGGGAGACTGGATTCTCTCTCTCATTCTCTAACTCTGCCTTTCAAATAAATACATAAATAGATCTACCTATCTATCTATCTTTTAAAAAATACAAACTGGAAGACTCCATGGACATGGCCAAATTGCCAAGATCCTTAGTTATTGAGGAAAGTACTAAGTGTTTGTTTTATTACAAAAATGTCTGGAACTTAAACTACCTTCTATTGACAAAGTATATATTTTAGGTGTATCTTTAAATCCCACTGTCCTTGAATTCTAAATTTCCTCATATCACCAGCAGTGGAATTGCTAGGGGACATAACTACTCTATTATTCAGGGGACGATACTACACACATTTATCCACCTGTCTTTGTGCTACTTAGAACTATTCTTGCTGTGTGCATGGTTGTCAATACAAATGTCTCTCCTTCCTCCAGCTACCTTCTTAGTATGCCATTTCCTACATGGATCTTCTTTTTCTAGCACCGTATTACTGAGCTGATGTATTTCATACAGCAACACACACACACACACACACACACACACACACACGTGCATGTAAAGCTGGTGAAATCCTGATGAGGCTGAAGGATTTTTAGGGTCTATTTCTACAGAATCACCTGTGTGTTTCTGAAAACAAAGGAGCAGCCAAAGAGAGCAGAACACTCACCAACTCATCTAGCCTATAGAGCTGTCCAAAGCTGATGGAACCTCTGAAGAGAGCAATGAAGACAGAGATCAAAGGCATCTTCACTGGTCGTGGAAGGCACTGGAGAAGGCAGAATGGGAGAAGCCATGACTCAACCCCATGGGCCAGTGACCCCTGCCCTGCCCCTCCCAGCCCCTTCTCTCCCCCTCCTCCACCTCCTTTGCTCTCCTCAAGATCTTGCACAGGATGTAGCTGCTTAGGTTCTTCACTGTGCCCTCAGCCTCACTGCTGCTCTCATCCACTTTAGCCTCTGCACTTCCAAGTTAGGCTGGGACCATGACATCTCAACATGGGACCCATGTCCTCTGTCATTGTCTGAGGGAGTCCACAGCCCTTTAGCAGCTCCACACACACCTAAATATCTTCTTCGCCTGAGCACTCGGGCCCTTCACTCTGAGAGAGAATTTACAGCATATTCTGACAGTCACAAGCTCCCAAGGGTAGTCAGTTATGTGCTATATCCTTACAATTGCCACAAAAAGGAGAAGTAGATGACTGTATAGTAAACAGCAGCTGAAAGCCCTCCAATTCTGCCCTCCAATAAATCAGTGAGAAACCAGGTAAAAACAGTCACCATTAACATTTTGTAAGTTTTTAATCTTTTGATTCAGTGGGAGAAATGCATAGGAGAGTGAGGGCCCTATCTAAAAAAGACAGAGAAATCTGGATTCATACCGAACACCACTAGCCACCATGTGGAGGAGTATGCAGGCCAGGAAGCACGGAGCAGATGGCCTGAAGACCACATACCCAAAGGTGCAGGGGCAGCAAGACCATCCAGCACAAAAGGGAAAAGGGCCAAAAAGCCATTAGCATTTCAAGAATCCTGGAAACTAACCCAACATCTGCAGGAACCCAGGCAGTACCGAGCACAGAAAAACAAAGCACAGCTGACTCTCAGGAAGAACAGGGGGTTGGTGGCAGTCTCCCTGTCCCGAGTACAACCTGCTGCTCTGCAGTTCCACAGGAACACAGAAAACGGAAGCCCACATTCATGGTGAAAACCAGCAGTGGGCAGCCACTGCCGGGAGCACAATCAGTCTGTGGCTTCCCCAAAGCCTTATTCATAGAGAATGAGCACTCTCTGAGGAGTCTGCTGCCTTCGGGAAGAACCCACTTTCTAGGCTGAACTTGACCTGACCTTGAGCTTGTCCAAGGTGATAAGTACAATGGTCCCCAGCAAAACTCTCAAAACTATCACAGCCACTGCTTAACTTTGTGGATACTCTAAGTAGTTGACAACTCCCTTAGATAAAGGACAAACTAACCCAATAACATTGCCGCAGAGCTAAGTCATGAGTGTCTGTAGGGGACTCAGGAAGCTCTGGCACACTCCTGGGAATCTAGAAATGCACAGGTGCACCCTTCTCTAATGAGAGAGGCTCGAGGTGCTGGACTTCTCACATACACAAGGACTAATGCCAAACCTCTTGCTCCTCCTGGGGTACTAGAATCTACCCATGTGCTGGGAAGAAGGCACCAATGAACAGCCTGGGCAATCAGACTCTGGGACCTTGTCTGGCAAATGTCACTCTTGTTGTCACAACTTGTTCTGAGTCCAGGGGGGCCTCCACAGGAAGCACTGACCCTGGGAGTGCTCAGCATCAGGATCTCCCAACACAAGCAGAATCACCAAGACTGCAGCCAGCTGACACTACCTCTGAGGAAGTACAGACATGGAACTCACTAGGCCCAGAGCACTCGGCATTCACACTATACTCAAATTAGTGAAGGAATCTATGTGTTAAGCACTACAAACATCAAGAGAAGTGTTTCACAGGATAGGAAATAACAGTAAGGGAATACATCTTATGAGAGGAGTGACTCAAGTTTCTGGAATTCAAAAGAACAACTGAGAACTCCCTGCAGGGGCCTGCACCAGCTTCCTCGAGTCACCATAGCTCCTTACTGCCATCTGCCTGGCTTTAAAGCTGGAAGGTTGCTCACAGTTCTGGAGGGCAGGGCCTGATGTCAGAGGCCTGCTGCTCCCTGCTCTATCTGAAGGCTCCAGCGTAGGGTCCTCCATGGGCTCTTCCTAGTTTCTGGCACTTGCTGCATCTTGGGTTGTTGCTTTGCAGCTGCAACTTCCCAGCCTCTGCCTGTGCCATCAGAGTCTTCTTCCTTCCACATCCACATTTGCCTGGAATGGAAGGACAACAGCAATGGATCAGGACCCACTCTGACACAGGATGAGCTCATCATCCCTGACTCTACCTGTGAACACCTTATTTCCACAGAAAGCCTCCCACACAGACATTGAGTGCTAAGGCTTAAACGTTGCAGGACAAACTCCTCATACAATAGGATTTTGAACAGGCAAAAGAAACACCGAACCTGTGGATCAGACCCTGCAGATGGCCCAGTCCAATGAATAATAAGCAAACAATAGTTTCAGAAACCTGTGGGACACCATCAAGCATAACACATATGCATAAAGAGTCCAGAGAGACAGGGATATGAGACAGGGACAGCAAGAATATATGAATTGTGTCCCCAAATTGCCTAAACATTTTGAACAAGAATAATCAAAATATGCATGGGTGTTTGGCCTAGTCATAAAGCAAACAGGACATCAATATCCAACAAAGAAATGGTTCAATTTGATTCCCTAGCTCTGTCTCCTGTTTCCAGCTTCCTGCTCCTATGAATATTGGGAGGCAGCAGTGAGGGTCCAAGTCGTTGGGCTCATTCCACACATGGGGAAAACTTGGATTGGGAACCCAGTTCCCAGCTGTGATCTTACAGTTGTAGAAAGTACTTCAGAGGAGTCAATCAGCAGCTGGAATATCTCTCATGCCTCTATCGCTGACACATCATAGGATGCAAAAATATACATGGAGTTCAATGAACTGCACTAGTAGAAATTCACATCCTAGTAAGTTGGAAGGCAAAGACAAAGATATGCAAGGGCCTCCAGAATGAATTGTCATGCACAAAGTATCTCTGAGAAGATGAACACTGGTATGGCTGTAATCCGTTTTTAAAAAGTATAGCTAGTAATGTTGTGGAATTTAAACATCACACTTTATTCTGCAAATCCCTCACAAGTTTTTTTTTAATTTGTTTTATTTATTTGACAGGTAGAGTTACAGAAAGTAAGAGAGAGACAGAGAGAAAGGTCTTCCTTTCATTGGTTCACTCCCCAAATACTGCTACAGCTGGAACTGTGCCTATCCAAAGCCAGGAGCCAGGTGCTTCTTCCTGGTCTCCCACATGGGTGCAGGGGCCCAAGCACTTGAGCCATCCTCCACTGCCTTCCTGGGCCACAGCAGAGAGCTGGACTGGAAGAGGAGCAGCCAGGAATAGAACCGGCGCCCATATGGCATGCCGGCACTGCAGGTGGAAGATTAACCAAGTGAGCCACAGTGCCGGCCCCTCCCTTAAAAGTTTGACTTCCTCAGAAAAGTTCAGAGTGTCAGTATACATAGTAGCCAAATGTGTAAGTGACCCATTTACCCAGCATGTGATAAATGAAAAGTATTAATATGCTTCGTTCACACAGTAGATATTACTCAGCCATAAAAGGATCAGGTGTGGATATATGCTACAATATGGATGAACCTTGGATATATTTTGCTTATTGAAAGAAAACAGACATAAAAGTGACCCTCTATCTCCATGATATGGCCAGAAGTGAAAATAAATCCACAGAGACAGGAGGTAGATAAGGGTTACCAAGGCAAGGCAGGTGGAGAGAATGAGGTTCTCTGACAAGGAGTATGGTGTTTCCCTTTGAGATGATGAGAAAAGTACGGAAATTACAAGACAGGAAAACCTGAATATACCAAGACCCAGTGAACAGTATGCTTTGTTTATTTTTAAAGATTTATATACTTGAAAGGCAGAGTGATGGGGAGTGGGGGATGATAGGGAGATCTAATCCACTGGTTCAGTCCCCTCAGATGACTGTAATAGCCAGGACTGGGCCAGCCTGAAACCACAAGCCAGGAGCTTCCTCCAGATCTTTCACATGGCTGGCAGGAGACCAAGCACTTGGGCCATCTCCCACTGTTTCCCCAGAAGCATTGGCATAGAGCTGGATCAGAAGTGGAGCAGCCAAGGGGCTTCCATAGCCTAGACAGCTCATAGCAAGAGTCTCGGCTGATTGCTGATATATACAGAACTTTCAATCCTACAGCTAAAGATTTTACATTCTTCTCAGCAGTACATGGAACCTTCTCTAGGATTGACCACATACTAGGCCATAAAGCAAGTCTCAGCAAATTCAAAAGAATTAGAATCATACCATGCAGCTTCTCAGACCATAAAGGAATGAAGTTGGAAATTAGCAACTCAGGAATCCCTAGAGCATACGCAAACACATGGAGATTGAACAACATGCTCCTGAATGAACAATGGGTCATAGAAGAAATTAAAAGAGAAATCAAAAATTTTCTGTAAGTAAATGAGGATAACAGCACAACATACCAAAACTTATGGGACGCAGCAAAAGCAGTGTTAAGAGGAAAGTTTATATCAATAGGTGCCTACATCAAGAAATTGGAAAGGCACCAAATCGATGAGCTTTCAATTCACCTCAAGGATCTAGAAAACCTACAGCAAACCAGACCAAAATCTAGTAGGAGAAGAGAAATAATTAAAATCAGAGAAGAAATCAACAGGATTGAATCAAGAAAAACATTCCAAAAAATCAGCCAAACGAGGAGCTGGTTTTTTGAAAAAATAAACAAAATTGACACTCCATTGGCCCAACTAACTAAAAAAAGAAGAGAAAAGACCCAAATCAATAAAATCAGAGATGAAAAAGGAAATGTAACAACAGACACCATGGAAATAAAAAGAATCATCAGAAATTACTACTAGGACTTGTATGCCAGCAAACAGGGAAACCTATCAGAAATGGATAGATTCCTGGACACATGCAACCTACCTAAATTGAACCAGGAAGACATCGAAAACCTAAACAGACCCATAACTGAGAAAGAAATTGAAACAGTAATAAAGGCCCTCCCAACAAAGAAAAGCCCAGGACCCGATGGATTCACTGCTGAATTCTACCAGACATTTAAAGAAGAACTAACTCCAATTCTTCTCAAACTATTCAGAACAATCGAAGAAGAGGGAATCCTCCCAAATTCTTTCTATGAAGCCAGCATCAGCATCACCTTAATTCCCTAAGCCAGAGAAAGATGCAGCACTGAAAGAAAATTACAGACCAATATCCCTGATGAACATAGACGCAAAAATCCTCAATAAAATTCTGGCCAATAGAATGCAACAACACATCAGAAAGATCATCCACCCAGACCAAGTGGGATTTATCCCTGGTATGCAGGGATGGTTTAACATGTCGCAAGATCAATCAATGTGATTACACCACATTAACAGACTGCAGAAGAAAAACCATATGATTATCTCAATAGATGCAGAGAAAGCATTCGATAAACTACAACACCCGTTCATGATGAAAACCCTAAGCAAACTGGGTTTGGAAGGAACATTCCTCAATACAATCAAAGCAATCTATGAAAAACCCACAGCCAACATCCTATTGAATGGGGAAAAGTTGGAAGCATTTCCACTGAGATCTGGTACCAGACAGGGATGCCCACTCTCACCACTGCTATTCAATATAGTTCTGGAGGTTCTAGCCAGAGCTATTAGGCAAGAAAAAGAAATTAAAGGGATACAAATTGGGAAGGAAGAACTCAAACTATCCCTCTTTGCAGATGACATGATTCTTTATTTAGGGGACCCAAAGAACTCTACTAAGAGACTATTGGAACTCATAGAAGAGTTTGTCAAAGTAGCAGGGTATAAAATCAATGTGCAAAGATCCACAACCTTTGTATACACAGGCAATGCCATGGCTGAGAAAGAACTTCTAAAATCAATCCCATTCACAATAGCCACAAAAAAATCCAACACCTTGGACTTAACCAAGGATATTAAAGATCTCTACTATGAGAATTACAAAATCTTAAAGAAAGAAATAGAAGAGGATACCAAGAAATGGAAAAATCTTCCATGCCCATGGATTAGAAGAATCAACATCAGCAAAAGGTCCATTCTCCAAAAGAAATTTATAGATTCAATGTGATACCAATCAAAATGCCAAAGGCATTCTTCTCAGATCTAGAAAAAAATGATGCTTAAATTCATATGGAGACACAGGAAAACTTGAATAGCTAAAGCAATCATGTACAACAGAAACAGAGCTGGAAGTATCACAATACCAGATTTCAGGACATACTACAGGGCAGCGGTAATCAAAAAGCAGGGTACTGGTACAGAAACAGATGGATAGACCAATGGAACAGAATTGAAACACCAGAAATCAACCCAAACATCTACAGCCAACTTATATTTGATCAGGGATCCAAAACCAATCCCTGGAATAAGGACAGTCTATTCAATAAGTGGTGCTGGGAAAACTGGATTTCCATGTGCAGAAGCATGAAGCCAGACCCCTACCTTTCACCTTACACAAAAATCCACTCAACATGGATTAAAGACCTAAATCTACGACCCAACACCATCAAGTTATTAGAGAACATTGGTGAAACCCTGCGAGATATAGGCACAGGCAAAGACCCAAGACTCTTGGAAAAAATCCTGGAGGCACAGGCAGTCAAAGCCAAAATTAACATGTGGGATAGCATCAAATTGAGAAGTTTCTGTACTGCAAAAGAAACAGTCAGGAGAGTGAAGAGGCAACCGACAGAATGGGAAAAAATATTTGCAAACTATGCAACAGATAAAGGGTTAATAACCAGAATCTACAAAGAGATCAAGAAGCTCCACAACAACAAAACAAACAACCCACACAAGAGATGGGCCAAAGACCTCAATAGACATTTTTCAAAGGAGGAAATCCAAATGGCCAACAGGCACATGAAAAAATGTTCAGGATCACTAGCAATCAGGGAAATGCAAATCAAAACAACAATGAGGTTTCACCTCACCCCGGCTAGAATGGCTCACATACAGAAATCTACCAACAACAGATGCTGGAGAGGATGTCCGGAAAAAGGGACACTAACCCACTGTTGGTGGGAGTGCAAACTGGTTAAGCCACTATGGAAGTCAGTCTGCAGATTCCTCAGAAACCTGAATATAACCTTACCATTCAACCCAGCCATCCCACTCCTTGAAGTTTGCCCAAAGGAAATTAAATTG